CACCAAAACAGCCAAAAATCACCCAAAAATCTCAAAGACCATAAAAACCCAAAAATCATAGAAATCCACCCAAAAAAAAAAACCCAAATGAAATCCCAGCTATGGCCCCGCCCCTTTTCGGGTTAGCCCCGCCCCTCSCGGGTTGCCCCGCCCCCTGACCTGCTGTTATCACAGAATTTGATGACGTTGTTGGGGTGGCTGCAGCCCTGGGTGTCCATCAGGGCCTTGAAGAGTGACCCCGGCCGGGAGTGACCGTCCAGCACCAGGTGGCCCTTGAAGAACCAGTGACGGCTGTGCTCACTGGCATTGGGGAAAATTGGGGTGAAATTCAGGGAAATTGGGGAAAATTGGGAAAAATTAAAATTAAAAACGGAGAAAATTGGGTGAAAATTGGGGAAAAAATGGGGGAAATTGGGGGAAATTGAGAACATTTGGGGAAACTTGGGGAAAATTTGGAACATTGGGGTTGACCTGTTGCTTTGGGCCAGGTCAAAAGCCTCCACCGAGGTCGGGTTCCGTCCGATCTTCTGGAAGAGGCGAGTGTAGAACTCCACGTCCCAGGGGTCAAACGCCAGTCCTGGGGACACCCAAATTCCAAAAAAAATCCCCAACAATATTCCCAAACATGCCCAAAACATTCCCAAAATATTGCCAAAACATCCCCAACAACATCCTAAACACATTCCCAAAACATCCCCAAATATTCCCAAAAAAATGCCAAAAGTTTTTTTAAAATCCTGATTTTTTTTCCAATTTTTCCCCAATTTTTCCCCCATTTTTCCCCAATTTTTCCCATTTTYYCCCCAGTTTTGGGGTRAATTCCCSRTTTTTTCTCTCCTCACCCATGTCCCTGTCGGCGTCCCTGAGCGCGCTCTGTCCCCGCCCCAGGATGTCGATGGTGGTGACGGGGCGGGGCCGCGCGGGCACCTCGAAGGTTCCGAGGGGTTCGGGGTACAGCTGCTCCGTCACCGGATCCCGCAGCGCCCGCTCCAGGCGCTCCCGCAGCCCCGGCCCCGCCGGCCC